CTGCTGAAGCCACCACAGGCACTGCTGCCCTGCAGATTGAGGACACCCCAAAAGGGCTGGGTATGGGGACAATCACCGGTGTGGGTGCTGCTGTGTCGCTCTCAGATGGTGTCCCTGAAGGAGGGAATAGCACCAGGACCTGGGCAGTGAGAGGTGCCTCTGCTGCCAACCCCAGTGGCAGCATATTTGGAAGGGCAGCGGGGACAGTGACTGCAGTGTATGGTGGCGACCCATATGGACCAGACACAACAATGAAGTCTCCAACTCTACGTGACCCCATGGAGAAGGTGACAGGCACCTCAGTGCCACTGCACAGCGGCACCACTCCCACAAAATCTGTGGAAGACCACAGTGCTCAGCAGATCTCCAGTGAAAAGCCAACCCTGGGAACAGCCATCCCTCTGCAAGAGATAACAGTGACTGAGGCACATGTGGGTGCCACCAGCATGCAGACAGGTGACATCCCAATACCCACTGCAGGTTTGTCTCCTGCAGTGATCCATGTCCCCACAGTTCCTCCGGTGCTGGGAACAGATGCACCTTCCTCAGCCACCAGCACAGCAGCTGATGATGATGCACTGGTGCAGCCTCACCGTGTTGGCACCACAGAAGGGACACCGGGGAGAGCACAGACCGTGGTGCTGTCTGATGTCCAACACAGCACAGGGACATCACCCCACTCCCTCACCTGGAGCCCAGCTGAGCTGCACAGAGCCGCTGTGCGCCTGTCCCAGGAGGTGACACCAGGGCTGGACGAGGCCACCTCTCCTCTTGTCACAGCAGCCAGCATCACTGCGGGGAACACCGAGCCTGCATCAACCACGTCTGACCGTGTCACATCTCCCACTGTGCCAGCAGCCACAGGGTCTCCCCATCGTGTTGGAATACAGAAATCAGGGACCATGATCCTCCCAGCCGCAGCCTCAGCAACAATCACTCCTTCTCCTGCCATTGACGGTGTCAGTAAGGCCACAGCCCCAGGGCTGCCAGCCCCCGGAATGTCTGGAGATGGACTGCACAGAGACACAGCCATCACCCATGCCGGTGTCACCTCTCAGCTCCATGCCACCACCGCAGCAGCTCAGGGCACATCAGCCACGGCCATGGATGTCAGCACTGCACCGCATGTACTCACCACCCCACTTATAGCCCCAGGCAGTGCCCAGCATGTTTCCATCACTGCTGAAGCCTCCACAGGCAATGGTGTCCTGCAGACTGAGGGCGCTCCGATGGAGCTGGACATGGGCAGTGTCCCCAGCACTGTTCCTGCTGTGGCACTCCCCAGTGGCAGCACAGTTGGGCAAATGATGGGGTCAGTGGCCCTGGGATTGGGCAGCCGCGCACAGGCAGTAGCAGGCTCAATCCCAGTTGAAAACCCCACAGTGGGTATCCTTGCCCCCAGATCGAATACTGAGAGCACTTCTGTGGTCTCAGCACTCCCAGCACCACATCCTTCCAGTGCCAGTACCACTTCTCAGCTGGGCACAACCACGTCGAACCACAGCCACAGTGCTGCTTGGGTAACAGTGGACGTGGACACCTCCTCAGCCACTACCCCTGTGGCCAGAAGTGCTGAGCTGGGTGTCAGAAGGGCCACCCCAGTGTCACCATCTGCAGTGAGCAGCCAAAGTTCTCCCACATCCCTGGCATCAGTCACAGCACTGTCCCCTGCTGAGCAAGATGTGAGCGTGTCCCCTTCTGTTTTCCAGAACAGCAGTCTGACAGTAGTGGCATCCTCTGTCACATCAACTGTGGTGGCATCCATCACACCCAGTGTCAGTGCCAGTGGTCCAGCAGTGAGAACAAGAGATGCCTCTCTCAGTATGGTCACAACACCCTCCTCTGCTGTCCCCAGCAGCTCTTTGGGGCCACACAGCCCCCGTGTCACCCCAGGGACACCCATCAAGGCCACCAGCATTCTCCGTGACCCAGCCTTGAATGATTCCAGCACACACACATGGGAAGCCACAGCCATGTCCTGGAAGGACACCATCCCCTCCAGCGATGCCACAGCACCAGCTAGCTCACCCAGCATTGACACCTCCATGGTGATTAGGCACACCACAGTGTCACCTCCTACGGCAATGGCCAGCAGTGGTGCCCAGTCCCCCTCTGCCACGCAAGATGTCCCCACTGCCCTGAGAGTGACAAACCACAAGGCCACCTCTGCATCTGCTGCCATGTCCAGCCCTGCCGAGGGCATACCAGCAGCCAGCAGCCCCACCAGAGCAGCTCCAGACTTAGGGGCACAGAGTGGACCGATCACAGCACCAGGGGCACCCGCTTATGCCACCCCCCAGAATCCCATGTCCAAGCCTGGCACTGAGCTCGGTAAGTCGATTTTCTTCCCCTTTCCCAACGTGAAGGAGAGAAGGGGGCCCTCAGCCTTATTTTCACTTAAGGGAGAGAATTCACTTAATATCTGCTCAAGTTCTTGCCCAGCCCCTGGCCATGCTCTTACCCTGGAGGCGATGAGCATCTGCTGGCACACCCCCCCACCGTACGTGCCAGGGTTCACATTGGGTTCATTATTCACAGCATTCCAGCCCAAAATCGGAGGAGTCACCGAGACTGAAGTGCCTCATTTCCTCCAGTTGCAATCCCTGCCTCCTGAGTCACCACAAAGCCAAATTGGGTTAAATATCATGACGGCATTTAGGGGGGGGCGGAGGGAGAAGGCATCCTTGAGGGTGAATCTTGGGATTCCACCGGGGATAGGGGACCCATCACCAAAATCACACCCCAGGGTGAGGAGGCAGCTGAGCAGAATGAAAGCTGGAGCAGAAGTTAATTGTTTAATTGTTTCTAACCTCCCCCATTAATGTCCTGCCTGTGTCAGTCCCAGCAGTGTCACTGTACCCATTTGGCGCAGCGGAAGGAGACACAGAGTGCATCCAGAGAACAGTGGATTTTAACTCCCCACTGCTGAAGCCCGAGATTGGGTTCCCCTTGGGGAAGGCACTGCGGGACACCCTCTATGTGAGTTCTTATGCCTATATACGGGATGTGCAGCCTGCTCAGTAGAAAAAAAAAAAAGAAGAAAAAAAAACAACAAAACAACCCACACAAATGGAACTGAAACCTGATTTAATGTTAATTTTTCACCACCTAAAATTGATTTTTTTCTGCTTGTATGTATGTAGCGTATGGATACAACCTAACCTGTCATTCTGCTCAGTTTACAGACAATGGACAAATCATTTTCCCTCCCACGGACAGCCACGTTCCCTCCAGCCCCCACCCCCCTTCCCAGGGCTTCAGTGGCCACGAGGCTTTACCCATGGTGGCCGCCTTTTGGGATGATGCGGATTTCTCTCGTGGTGTTGGTACCACCTGGTACCAGGTCAGGGTCATTGGGCACCTCCAGGCTGTGACCCCGCTGCCTCCAGTCCTCACCCACTGAAACCCCACTGCAATCCACAGGAGTACCCCACTTTTGGCTCCATCCGAGATCCTATTATCCGTGATGTGGAAGCAAAGATTCAGAAATACATGGGGGTGCCATACTCTGCTAAATGGACTCTGAAGGTGACATGGGAGAAGGCTCCGCCATACCCGTCCCAGCTGGATGATGCACAGGTGACAAAGGGGAACTGCCACTAACAATGGATGGGGCACAGCAGTGGGGTGCTGATGGGGCTCCATGGGTTCCCCAGACCAACACATACCAGGCAGTGCTCTCCACTGATGGGAGCCGCTCCTTCGCCTTGCTGCTGTACCAGGATGGTGGCATGCGGTGGGACTACACTGGGCTGGCAGACAAGGATGTGCTCATCGGCTTTTCCAGGTGCTGTGTCCTTCTTTGTGTGTCCCCAGAGATACCCTCACCTCTCAACTCTAGTGTAGCCATGTCCCATTTCAAGCTTCACTCTCCAAGGAAAACCCACAAAGCTGCCCAGCCCCAACTGGAAACTCCTGCCCACAGTGTACTGGGTGCAGGAACATAACCCTAACCTAACCCTAACCCCAGAGCTCCTCTCTTTACCTAGTGGTGATGGCTATGCCCAGAACAGTGAGCTGACTGAAGAGCCACCAGCTATTAGGTACCGTCCAGACCAGCACCGCAGCTCCGGCACTGGTACGGCACCAGGAGAGACCCTCAATCCACTGCTGGGGGGGATGGATGATGTTGGGACCCTCTTTTTGCACAAGCCCCACTGTGAGGTTTCAATGGTCGCTGCAGTCCTGCTGTGCTTTTTTCCTACTGCTCCCCAGATGTGCGTGGGCTGTGGCTGTTCCGGCTGGACAACCGCAGCCGGGTGAACTACAGGCTGCAGTGCCTGACGTGGCTGCAGGCACAGCCACCACCATCCACCTGGAGCATGGAGCTGCCGCCCTGCCCCTGCTCACGGCCCCAGGCAGAGCTGGACCCCCGATACCGCCGGAGCAGAAGTGCTGAGTCCCCTCCTGCACCTGGGGTGGCCACTACACCCCAAAATACTTCAGATCTCTTTGTGACGGTGCTGCGCACCACATCCCCCAGCCGGATGGGAGCTGGGGTGCGGTGTGTGTACCGTGGCACAGGGTTTTTGGAAGGATGGCAGGAGAGATTCTGGAGCCCACCCAACAACCCTTCAGACAGTGAGTGGGCACCGCCCTGTCCCAGCCCTAAAACACCCGCAGGGTCTGCCTACACTCTGCAGGAACAGGGGGACCCCCATACCCCCAATACCCAGCCAGTGTATCCCCACAGATGGGGAGCTGGAGGCATTTGAATGGTGCTGCCGGCACGTGGGGAAGCCTCATTTCTGCACCAGGTACAGCGAGAAGAGACCAAGAGCTGGCTGTGACGGATATGTGCCACCCACCCCTGGTAGGTCCCCTTCCTCTGTGGTGGGGCACTGGGCGGGTGGCATGGCCATAGCCACATAGGCCATGGTTTGCAGTATCCCAGTGGAGACTGCTGAGCACCGTGGTTTGCTTTCCTCCGTTTGATGACACCAGCACTTACTTTCCTTTCTCTTCTCAAAACGACTCAATTTCCTTCGGACCCCAGCCAATGCCTTTGGGGACCCCCACATCACTACCCTGGATGGCCTCACCTACACCTTCAATGCACTCGGGGACTTCATGCTGCTGCTGGCCAGTGATGCCCACACCAGCTTTGTGCTGCAAGGGCGCATGGCCCGCACCAGCACAGCCCGGGCCACAAACTTCATGGCCTTCGTTGCCCAGTACACCTCCAGCACCACCACAACAGTGAGTAGAGCTACTCTCTGCACCCATTTTGGTAAGTGATATCTCCCATTGTCACCAAAGCAGCCCTTGAGAGGGCTCTGAGCCTGGAGCCCACATGTTGCAATGGTCAACCGTTGGTGGTCAACCAAGCAGTGGTGGCAGCCCATATGTGCCCTGTGTCAGCGGAGAGAACTCACCATCCTTACCCATGCAGCCATCAAAGCTGTGTTGCCGTGTGTTTGCTGGGGCAAAGACTGTGCCAACACATCTTCCAGGATGAACACCTCTTCTGGGGCTGGAGGAGGACAGGATCCAGCAGTGTGTCCTCAGCAGAGGGTGGGGAGGAACAAGCAGGAGGGACAACTTGAGCAGTTATCCATTTGCAGGTTGAGTGGACCTTGGGGAGCCGTAATGAGGTCCAAGTTCTACTGAACCATGAAACCATCCAGTTTTCCTACTCCCAAGGTAAGGAGGACATGGTGTTAAATGTTAACTGTATCTGAGGGAGATCAGAGGTGTACCCATCCCATAGGCACTTGGCTGATGAGGTTGGGAATGCTCCCCTCCCTGAATTCAGAGACATCATTTCAGATCCCAGACTTGTGTGGGCTCCCTCTGCGTCTTCTTTTGCAGACATGGATGCTGAGGTGTACTACAGCCCCGGTGTCCTGCTGGTCAACACTTCCTCCATCACGGCCATCTTTGATGGGACCATCTCCATCTCCGTCTCAGCCAGCTCTGGGATGCTCAGTGTGGTATGCAGCCTGCTGGAGCAGTACCACAATGGCACCAAGGGCCTGCTGGGTGAGGACTCCTCTCACCTCTCCTCCAGCACTGCTGCAGGGCCAGGGGCAAGGTCCCCTTCCCACCCCATAGCTGCTGGCAGACCTTGGGGACTCCAGTCCCACAGTGAATTTACACCAGGTGTATGGAACCACAACCCAGCAGATGACTTCCAGATGCCAAATGGAACTAACATCCCTGTAAACAGCAGTGAGGAAGATATCTTCAGCTATGGGATGACCTGTAAGTCTGAGCTTGGGACCCAGCCTGGCCATCCCACACTCCGGCACCTTCTGGCCATGCACCGGCTGGAGAGGTTTGAACAAAACTAGTGCCAAGGGAGCCCTTCAATTTCTTTACAACTGCATGGAAACCAGCCCTAAAAAGAGCTAGCTTTAAAAACACGAGGTCCTACTCATGATGTGCTCTCTTGCAGGGGCTGTTGGAGAATACAGCCTGTTTGCCCAACCCCTGGCTGCACCAGTAAGAACCTTCAACCCCATCTTCTTGTCTCAGCTGCGACAGGAGAACAAAACCCAATATCAGCTGGCAGCCTCGCAGTGCCACGGTTGCAGGGAGTGCATCTATGACATGCTGAGCACAGGGGATGTGGCCCTGGGTCTGGCCACCCAGAGCCTAGTGGAGGACTACCAGAAGAGAAAGGCAGCACTCGGTAAGTGGGGTGTGGGGAACTGGGAAGAGCCCTGCTCCCTCCCTGGGGCTATATGAGGCAAGAGAAATGCCACCAAGTTCTGGAGTTGCAGTGCATGGCTGGCTCATCTCCAATCCTGGGAGATGCCACCAAAGTCTTGAGTTGCATGGCACGGCTGGCTGGTACTCAGGCCTGGGAGATGCCACCCAGAAGGGATTTTGTTGGGTGGCCATGGCTACATCTGCCCAGGGCCACCTCATCACTGTGAGGTACATAGACCAAGAGATGCCAAGATCTCATGGTGAGCACACAGGGCTGCTCTTCCCTCAGATTCCTTCCCTCCCATCATCACCGGCAGCCCATTGCTCACAGCATTCAGGACAGAACAAATCACCAGGCAATACCGAGCTACAGGGCCGGGTGTACGCTTTGTCCCTCACGTCTCACCAGAGCTCAACATATCAGGTAGGGATGGAGAGAGGGGACGGGATGGGGGCAGGACGGGCACCGCACAGACATTGGGTTCTGGATGGAACCCCTCCAGGAGGGCTGGGACGTGACCACTACCACGTGCCCCCTCCTCCTCCACTTCCTGCAGAGGACGGCATGCTGACATGGGAGCCCCGTGGGACAGCCCCACTCAGCATCACCCTGCAGGCTGTCAGCCCACACCTCCCCCCAGCCCTCCTGCAGCTCAGCTTCACCCTGTGCAGCTGCCGCAAAATCCAGCAGTGTGACTACAGCAGCACGACCACCATTGCCAGCTCCTCCTTGCAGGTAGCAAAGCTCTGGGACGTCCTCCTGCCACCAGCCCCATCCCATCTGTCCTCGTGTCCCCTAAGCCAGTGTCACAATCCCTTGGCAGCTGGCAGCCTGCAGGTGTGACGATGGATACTGGGGCCCCTTCTGCCAGCATGCACCAGACCCCTGTGCCCAGGGCTGCTTCCCTGGGGTGAGCTGTGACCCGCACATGGGCTGTGGTCCCTGCCCACCTGGACTGACTGGCGATGGGCAGCACTGTGCAGGTGACGTGGGCTCATTATGGGAATGAACACTGGGGCCTCAAGGGGTTTCGCCCGGTGCCATGCTGCATTGCACTGCAGATATCGATGAGTGTGTGCAGAAGACGACGTGCCAGGGGAACCTCACCTGCACCAACACTGTGGGCAGCTATACCTGTTCCTGCCCCAGCAATGCAACGGGTGAGTGCAGGCATCCTGGGATGCACAGCTTTGCATGGGGTAACAAGCAAAACACCTCAGCTCCAAAAAAGCAGTGTCTGCCTCCTGCATCATGTATTCCCATCCCACAGGGGAGGGTCTGGGATGTGGCACTGCCTGCAGGTCCCACTCCTGCCCTGAGGGCTTCTGCAGCAATGGAGGACGCTGCCGCCTGCACCCCCCCTCCTGTACACCCACCTGTGAGTGTCCCCCAGCATTTACCGACCGGCACTGCGTGGTGGCAGGAGGGGACTTTCGGCCCCTGGCCAGCACAGGTGGGTGCTGTGCCCCACGTGGGGCTGTCACCCATCCCAGCTCACCCAGCCCTGAGACACAAAGGCACTGCTGCTGTTTTGTCCCCAGATCTGCCCCAGAGGAGCGTGCTGCTGTGGGTCAGGGCAATGCAAAGTGCCACAGCTGAGGAAATCAATGCCACTGTGCGTAGCTGTAGGGAAAGGGCTGTGGCTTGTGGATGGGTGGGATGCTGCAGCTTGGGGTGCCGCTGCATTACCCCCTCCAAGGATCCAGCTCCACATGCCCCATGCCTGAGAGGCAATTGGGGCTGGGGTATAGGGTCACAGCCCTCATAAATGCCCCACCCAACCCCTTGGCACAGGTCTCAGCCATCCTGGGCTCTCTGGAGGTGAAGGCATTTTGGAGCAACACCAACATCACCCGCATGTGAGTGCTGAGCAGACAGAGTAGAGCTTGGAATACAAAGAGTTTTGCCCCCAGGGATCTGCTTTTCCAGCCCCAGTACCACTAAACCCTTATAGCAATGAGCCCCCTCCCTTCTTTTCCCCATAAATCATGGGGAAACTGAGGACGGCAGCCAGCTCTTCTCCCAGCAGGACAGCTGACGGCCTCACCTTTGCTGTGGTGGCCAAATTTACCTACAACAGCAGCAGCTTTGTCATCCAGTTCCTGAATGAGGAGCTGGCAGCAGCCATTACCACTGCTTTCAATGGGCAGAGGGCACGGCGGGAGGTGGGTGCACATCTCCTCTTTGCAAGCCTACACCTGGACAACATCACGGACCTGGTGAAGTGTGAGTGCCCCAGCACCAAGGGTGATGAGACCCCCATGGCTGTCCCCTGCTATCCAGTGCACCCTGGGGTTGTGATGGAGGTGGTTTGGTGCTGATCACCACCAAGAGGTCCTGGGGATGCACCAAGTGGTGATGCTGCCCCAAGCACCCATGCATGGCCCCATCCCTCTGCAGTATCAGTGCCTGAGCTGCAGCACTACTTCTCCTGCACGCTATATGGCTATGAGGGTTACCAGCTCGACTATGTGGGGACAAGCGGACTGACCTGCATCTCCCCCTGCAAGAAGGGCTACTGCCAGCACGGTGGCCACTGCCAACACCTGCCTGAGGGTCCCACATGCAGGTAGCTATGACACTGGGGGGGGCAATGCCACCCCGCACAGCCACCCCTCCTTGTATCTGAATCTCCATCCCCTCCACAGCTGCGTGCCCTTCTCCATCTTCTCCCCGGGCGGTGCCCACTGCGAGCAGCTCGCTGTCAGCCTCGCCGCCTTCATCAGCATCATGGTGGGGGCCCTGGCACTGCTCTGCCTCCTGCTCTCCACTGCCTTTCTGGCTGCACAGCTCTGCCGTCGGCGTCGGGAGCCCCAGGGGTGAGCGAGGGATTGGGGCTGGGCCCATAAGGTGGGTGCTGTGGGACAGGGTGTTGAGGGTGGGTGTCAGGAGAAGCCTTGCCATGCTGAAAAAGTGGAAAATCTATCCCAGGTAGGGGACAGGGGTGTTCTGGGGAAGGAGGCTGAGCCCCTTCAGCATCATCCACCCCATTTGCAGTTGTCTGCTGCAATGAGGAGTGACAACTTCCTTCTCCTCCATGTCAGAGAGCGGTCACGTTTCTTCCCTGTCCCACCCTGTGTTTGGTTACAGAAGGACTTTGTTGATTTTAATTTGAATGCCATCCAAATGATTTCCACTGAAATTCATGTGTTGCTGGGAGGAGCAGGTCTGGAGCAAGAAATAAAGCACATTGCAGGGGCAGAGCTGGCTGGGGGAGTAGTGCCAACCCATCCCTACCTCCACCCTATCCTTGGTATGGGATGTGTGGGGTGGAAAGCTCTGCATCTGAGACCCCAGTGCACCAGAGCATTTGTTTGCATTTGGGACAAGGCAAGAAATGGAGTGTGTGCTGGAGCTGGGGCTTTTGCTCCTCAATTCCTGTCCACAGCCCCACACTCAGTCAGTGCTCCCCACTCAGGGGGCTGAGCACAAGTCAGGGGCTTTCCTGCCCCACTGATGAGTTGTCCCCATTCTGTCCTCCTCTCCTAGGACCAAGGGGACCTTCTGGAGAGAGCGGCCGTTCTCCTGTGAGTATGCCACTAGTCTGCTTTGTAGCACAGCTCTGAGCGACAGAGCAGGCAGTGGAGTGGCCCTATGCCCCCCAGCTGTCCCCACAGTACTCTCCCAGCTCTGCTCTTCTTCCTCATCCCAGCCCTGATGAAGGCAGAAGAGGGGGCAGAGGCCTCAGGAAGGCTCTGGGAACCTCAGCTCCAGGCCATTGATCCATCCATCCAGGTGTGCCCAGGGTCACTGTCCCTTTGTGTGGGGCAGCACAGCAGTGTCCTTGTCCCAGGGCTCAAAGTCTGCTTGGGATGCTGGGGACAGCAGGATCTGCACTGCTGCTGGGGTTCAGTGCAGGGATTGTGCAACTAGAACACCGCTTGTCCTGTGTCCCTTTTTGCAGATGAGGTTCAAGAGACCCCACGTCCTGCCTCCAAGCCAAGGCACTGCGCAGCCCTAACATGCTCTGCAGGGCTCCGGCCATGGGAAGGGGATGGAACATACAGGGCTGTGGGACATGGCTGTGCCATGAGGACATGGGTCACCAAAGCAACGGGACCTTTTGCTGAGGACCTGAAGAAGTGATTGGGGTCATCCATAGGAGTGTCTACCGCGGGGTGTGCCCCAGCATGGTGCAACCAGACCCAGCAATCACACCGCATTATGAACAAATCAGAATAAAAATGAAATGAGGGCATTGTGCTGAGTGATGTGTGCACTCCCAGCTCTCAACATCAGATCACACAAACCAGTCCCTGCTCCGAGCCCACTCCCATCCCACCCACCAGAGAGATGGTTGCACTTCACTGGTGATGCTCAGACCTTCTGATGCTTTATTGAAGGGATGCAACGTGACAAGAACTTTGGTGCTTTTGCAAAAATTCAGGTGTTCTCACACACACAGTATTATTTTTCTCCCACTATTTCCAATCACAGGGTTGAACCAATGCAAGGTGCAAAGGCCCAGATGCTGGGGGCTAAAATCCCCTTTAGTGCCATCCCCAGGCAGGAGAGCAGGGGCAAGGAACATGGTGACAGTGCCACAGTGCCTGTTCCATCATTGAGGGAGCAGAGACACACGGGGGACACATAGGAGTGCCGGGTACAAATGGGAGTGAAGGGTTTGGAGGATCATGCACGGCCCAGAGTGTGTTGTGTGTATGTGACCCACAAGTTACTCCTCTTCCTCATCTGCAAGGAGATAATGAATGGTGAGACCTCAGCCCCAGCCTCTTCAAGGCATGGGGTGAGCCCAGGAGCCCCTGAGCCCCTCACCTCTCTGCTCCTCCGAGTCGCTGTCTTCTGAGGAATCGTCTGTGGATTGCAAGAAAGACCGAAGCTCAGCCCACACCCACAAATGCTGCCTGTGTCTCTACTCCCCTCCACACATTGCCCAGCTCCATAGTGCTGTGTGTTACACCAACCCAGAGCACAGCACCATCCTCCTCCAAACCCAAACTCCTCTCAGGGCTCTCACTGCATTCACTATGGAGGAACTGGGATGTTCCCCACCAGCCCTGGTCACATGCAGGCAGGGAACCCACCCGCACTGTTTGCCCGGTACCCATCGCATCCAATCCGCGGCCTCTTCTCATTGTAACGGGCGCAGAGGCGAGCGCTCCCTGCTTGGTTGCAGCACCAATCATACAGCTTTAGCTCCTGGTCTAGGGGGAAGGAAGCACAAAATCATGGGCTGGGAAGGGGAGGAGAGCAGGGCCATCCACAGTGTGTCCAGAGATGGGTTGGCACAGGGATGTTTCCCCCCTGCGCCCCAGAGTCCGTGCTTACCACGGTATGGGGATGCCTGTCGGGATGCCCTCCAGTATCTCTCCTGCCGCCCCTCCACCAGCTGCCCCCGGCCATCATACAGGCAGCGGACACCAGCACCGTGCGAGTTGGGTGAAGCAGAGTGCAGCATGGAGACACGAGCAGACCCCCAGCCTGGAGCAGGGATGCAATCAGCTCAATGGGCACTTTGGGGACTCCCGTGGGGGATGCCAGGGGCGCACAGGGGACACACTGGGGATGGCGGTGCCACTTGCCTCCACGACCACTCCTGAAGCGCTGGTCCTGCTGGCCTTGCTGCAGGGAGCAGGGGCAGGCAGGCAGGTCCTGGCTCCATGCCTGGGGCTCCTGCTGCCGCCCCGTCCACGCCAGGCACTTCAGGCGGTAGTTGATGCCCACGCGGCTCTCCAGCTTGTACAGCCACAGCCCACGGAGATCTGAATGGGGAATGGGAGATGGGACCGTGGGTGGCTCCAGCAGAGAGAACGGATGCTGATGCTGTTGGGTCCCCACCATGGGACCCCAACACCAGGGGAATATCCAGGAAATGGGAGAGAGCCTCTTGCCAAGAAGAAATCTCCAAGAAATCATATTGCACAAAAAAGGGATGCATCATTATGGAACACCCCAAGGATGTTCTCAAAGTTTATCTCATCTCCAGGGCATTACTCATACCCAGGGAACTCACTTTACGTGTCTGGGCAGAAATGGTGTTGATAGTGAACTCAGTGCCCCCCCCCCTGCCTAGAGCTGTCCCCATGCCCATGCAGAGCATCCCCCACCTCCAGGCCATGTGCCTACCTGTATTGTAGCCTCTATAGCGGTCAGGGCGATATTTTGCAGCTGGAGATCCTTGGGCCAGGTCATCATTGCGGTAATACCCATCCCCACTGCACAGGGGGAAGGGGAGCCATCAGACATTGTGTGTCGCACCACCCCAGCACGGTGTCCCTGTGACACCCTGTACCTGGTGTAGCCAATCAGCACATTGGTGGCCGGCAGCTGGGTGTAGTCCCACTGCATTCCTCCATCCTGGTACAGGATCAGGACGTAGGACCTGAAGCCATCAGTGGTGAGGACAGCCTGGTATGTGTTTGTCTGGGGAGAAGCACAGGTAAAGGACTGAGCTGATGGATTTAGCATGAGGTCAACCTTATGAGGCTTCCTGAGAAATGGTACTTGGACACCCCCAGCTCATAGGCCCATACCCTGCGGCTGTTGCCACGTGCCCCATAGGCAGGTGCCTTCTCCCAAGTGATCTTCAGAGTCCAGGCTGCGGAGTAGGAGGACCTCAGGTAGCGCCGGATCTTCGCTTCCACATCACGGATGAATGGTGGCTTCTCTGAGTTCAGGGTGAGGAACTCCTGTGGGTTTGGGACACAAAGGGATGAGACCCCATTGGGACCATTTCTGATAATGCAACCAGGTGTGTGGTTCCCAAGAAGGAAATGCCACCCATCACCTCTTCATTCTGCATCTCAAGGGGAATCTGTGAGCAAAGCAATGAATCATAGAACCATTTGAGTTGGAAGGGACCGTTAAAGGCCATCTGGCTGAACCCCCTGCAATGAACAGGGACAACTACAACTCCATCAGAGCCCCATCCAACCTGACCATAAGTGTCTCCAGGGACGGGGAATCCACTGCCTCTCTGGGCAACCTGTGCCAGTGCCTCAATCACCTCAATGCAATCACACACAAGGATGGCTTCACCAACCTGGTAGAAAGTGGTGCCGGTGCCCCTGGAGAAGTCAGCATTGTCCCAGAACACAGCAATCATAGGAACATCCTCACGGCCGGTGAATCCACGGGCAGGTGGATTGGGGAGTGTGAGGATGCTGCTGTCAGAGGCTGGGAAGATGATCTGCCCATTGTCTGTGAACTGTGCACAAGGGAATGGGGTTGGAGCTTTTCTACATCAGGCATTGGAAAGAGGTGCACTCAGGGCAGCATGGACTCACGTAGAGAGAATCACGCAGGGTTTTCCCAAACGGGAATCCGGTCTCAGGCTTGAAAAGTGGGGAATTGAAGTCCACTCTCCTTTGCACGTATTCATGGTCATTCTCTCTTGCTCCATACCCATAGAGGGGCACCGCTGGGACTACAAGAGAACAACAAAATTCAGAAAAAATGTTCCTATAGCAAAACCCCTTGGGCTGTGCCAACAGAAATAATTTTGCTTTCAGGGTGACAGCTGGGCAGCAGGAGGATGGGGGCACACCGGGACACCCCACTCCTGCTCCCATCCCTCTCCCTGCCCTAGCTCTTCATCACCCACCTGTGGGGAGTGGCGGTGGGGTCGGGGCAGCAGCCGGCTGTCCTGGAGCTGGGAGCATAGAGGATGATACATGGGTACCAATAGTGGACCCGCCGCTTGCCCCCAGCCCCATGAGCCTCATCTTGTCCCCAGGGCTGGGGGTTGGGCTGCAGGACACGGCGGGGATCAGGGTGGCAGAGGTGGACCCCCTTTGGGCTCCCCCTGGGACCGGGATGGATGCAGGGATGCTCACCCCACCGGCAGCCCCACGGGCTGCATTGGCGATGCTGGGGCCATCAGCATCCCCCCTGCCTTCAGCCGCTGCAGGGACCCCACGTTGGAGGGGAGGGAGCAGCAGGGCAGCCCCGCCTGCAGCAGCAGCTCCTTGTGCCCCTGCTGGCCACTCACTTGCTGAAACCAGAGAGGAGAGCTGGGGACTGGTGGCTGCTCCCTCCTTTAGGTTTTCTCTTTCAGATGCAGAAGGCAGAGCTGGGGCAGCATTAGGGGCAGCATTAGGTTGGAACTCTTCTCCCAGTGGAGCCAGCATCCCAGAAGCCATCTCATCCACAGGGGACCATGGCAGTGCTGGGGGCCTGCTCCCGCTCTGGGTGCTGGAGGCAGAGGCAGGGCCCGCGTTGGGAACTGAGCTGTCCCCAACCCCCCTGGCAGAGGCAGATGCAGCCACTGGGACCAGGGGCTGTGTCTCCTGGAGGGAGGTGGGGATGGAGGGGGACAACACTCCCGATGCGATCTGGATGACAGTTCCCAGCCCGTTTCCCCCACTGGCAGAAGGTGACCCCTGGGCTGAGGTTCCCAATTTGCCTCCAGCCAGCTCCACCACGTTGACTTGGCTGAGTTTGGCACCAGGAGGTCCGACATTGGCATTGCTTTGAGTGGTGGGGAGAAGGATGGGTGTTTCCTTGTTGCTCTGGAGAGCAGCGGCCCCCAAGCCTGAGCTTGAGCCAGCTCCATTAGCTCTGGGGATGCCTGCTCCTGTATCTGCTCCGGCAGCTGCTTCAGGTAATGAAGATCCATCAGCGGATGGGGAGGAAGCTATGGAGAGCAGTGTAGCTCCCAGCCTTCCATCAGAGGCTACAGCTGCTCCTGTCCCAGTCTGGTCCTGAGACTGCCCTGGAGCTTCTCCATCTGCAGAGACAGCCTCAGCCCCATCATGCACTCCTACTGCAGCAGGATGGAGCCCGGGTGCAGCAACCAGGGAGGGCTGCAGAGCACTGGGAGCATCACCTGCTCCTCTCAAGACACTTGGGCCAGCTGGACCTGAAGCAGAGGGAGCTGTGAGCACATCACTGGAGGAAGCAAGACCCGATGGGGACAGGGCAGCAGGCAGCAGGTCCGTCCCAGCCTTCAGCCCAGTGCCTGGAGAGGAGCTCAGGGATGGTTCAAATGCAGCTGCACTGCTCACTCCTCCAGGCGCCTGCCCCTCTGCTCCCAGTGCTGTCAGACCTGTGCCAGGCTGCACTCCAATGCCAGGAGATGGTGGCCTTGCAGATCCATATGATGCTGAGCTAGGGGCATCCAGCACCGAACTAAATCCACTGCCTGGTCCCTTGGCCCCAGGGAGAGCTGGAGCATCAGCTGCTGTGTCCCATGGCTGTGATGCCCCAACAGATGGGGACGCTGGTTCTCCTGCGGCAGCACCAAAATCAGAGCTCACTGCTGCCTCTGCTCCATTGTTGGCCTCAAACACAGCACCATCCACAGCAGCTGGAGGTGGGAGGGCAGCACCAGGGGCACCAAGGGTCTCAATGGGCAGGGAAACAGATCCTCCAGCTCCAGAGAGGTCATGGCTAGGAGCTGCAAGACCATATGGGGACAGTGTTGGGGCCAGGGTTCCTTCCCCAGGAGCTGGGGCAGGAGACAGTTCAGTATGGAGCACAGCTCCTGATGCAGTGTCAGCAGGGCCCTGCTGGATGCTGCTGGCTGCAGGGCTTGTGTCTGTGTAGGGACTTTGGCTCTCTGGGATTTCTGCCTGTGCCACACCCCCTGCGCTGTTGATCCCTTGTGCCACAGTGAGCTCTGGGCCACCTTTGCCATATGCAGAACCCAGGGATGGGACAGCAGAGCCAGGAGCTGCTGCTGGGATGGGTGCAGCTGCTCCATCACTGTCTGAAATAGAGGGAACTGCAAGGACATCACTTTGGGAGGCAGAGTTGGGTGGGGACCCAGCACCAGGCAGCAGACCTGTTTCAGGTGTCAGTCCAGCTACTGGAGAGGAGCTCAGGGATGACTCAAATGCAGCTGCACTGCTCACTTCTCCCAGCGCCTGTCCCTCCACTCCCAGCACTGTCAGACCTGTGCCAGGCTGCTCCACAATGTCAGGTGATGGTGGCCCCATCGGTCCATACGATGCTGTGCTGGGGGCATTCAATGCTGAATTGATGCCAGTGCCTGGTCCCTCAGCCCCAGGGAGAGCTGTGTCCTCAGGAGCATCAGCTGCTGTGTCCCATGGCTGTGATGCCCCAACGGATGGGGATGCTGGTTCTCCTGGGGCAGCACCAAAATCAGAGCTCACTGCTGCCTCTGCTGCGTCATCAGGCCCAAACACAGCACCATCCACAGCAGCTGGAGGTGGGAGAGCAGCACCAGGGGCACCAAGGGTCTCAATGGGCAGAGGTCCTGATCCTTCAGCTCCAGAGAGGTCGTGGCTCGGAGCTGTAGGACCATGTGGGGACAGTGCTGGTGCCAGGGCTCCTTCCCCAGGAGCTGGGGCAGGAGACAGCTCGGTGTGTGGCACAGCTCCTGGTGTGGTGTCAGTAGGGCCCTGCTGGATGCTGCTGGCTGCAGGACTCGTGTCACTCTGGGTGTTCTCATAGGGGCTGCCATCTCCTGCATCTTCTGCCTGTGTTGTGTCCCCTGCACCTGTGTCTTCCTGTGCCTGTTGCCCTGCAGCAGGCAATGCTGTGTCATCAGGTACAGAAGATGATGGGTTGGTGGCACCCAAAGCTGAACTCAAGCTGCTGTCAGGTCCATCAAATCCTGGCATCCCCAGACCTGTGCCGGGCTGTACACCAAAGCTGGGTGATGGTGGGCCCACAGGTCCATACACTGCAGTGCTGGGGACATCCAATGCTGAACTGATGCCAGTGCCTGGTCCCTCAGCCCCAGGAAGAACTGTGTCCTCAGGAGCATCAGCTGCTGTGTCCCATGGCTGTGATGCCCCAAGGGATGGGGATGCTGGTTCTCCTGCGGCAGCACCAAAATCAGAGCTCACTGCTGCCTCTGCTCCATTGTTGGCCTCAAACACAGCACCATCCACAGCAGCTGGAGGTGGGAGGGCAGCACCAGGGGCACCAAGGGCCTCAATGGGCAGAGGTGCTGATCCTCCTGCTCCAGAGAGGTCGTGGCTCGGAGCTGTAGGACCATATGGGGACAGTGCTGGTGCCAGGGCTCCTTCCCCAGGAGCTGGGGCAGGAGACAGCTCGGTGTGTGGTACAGCTCCTGGTGTGGTGTCAGTGGGGCCCTGCTGGATGCTGCTGGCTGCAGGACTCGTGTCACTCTGGGTGTTCTCATAGGGGCTGCCATCTCCTGCATCTTCTGCTTGTGTTGTGCCCCCTGCAGCAGGCAATGCTGTGTCATCAGGTACAGAAGATGATGGGTTGGTGGCACCCAAAGCTGAACTCAAGCTGCTGTCAGGTCCATCAAATCCTGGCATCCCCAGACCTGTGCCGGGCTGTACGCCAAAGCTGGGTGATGGTGGGCCCACAGGTCCATACGATGCTGTGCTGGGGGCATTCAATGCTGAATTTATGCCAGTGCCTGGTCCCTCAGCCCCAGGAAGAGCTGTGTCCTCAGGAGCATCAGCTGCTGTGTCCCATGGCTGTGATGCCCCAACGGATGGGGATGCTGGTTCTCCTGCGGCAGCACCAAAATCAGAGCTCACTGCTGCCTCTGCTGCGTCATCAGGCCCAAACACAGCACCATCCACAGCAGCTGGAGGTGGGAGAGCAGCACCAGGGGCACCAAGGGCCTCAATGGGCAGAGGTGCTGATCCTTCAGCTCCAGAGAGGTCGTGGCTGGGGGCTGCAAGACCATATGGGGACAGTGCTGGTGCCAGGGCTCCTTCCCCAGGAGCTGGGGCAGGAGACAGCTCGGTGTGTGGTACAGCTCCTGGTGTGGTGTCAGTGGGGCCCTGCTGGATGCTGCTGGCTGCAGGACTCGTGTCACTCTGGGTGTTCTCATAGGGGCTGCCATCTCCTGCATCTTCTGCCTGTGTTGTGTCCCCTGCACCTGTGTCCCCCTGTGCCTGTTGCCCTTCAGCATACAATGCTGTGTCATCAGGTACAGAAGATGATGGGTTGGTGGCACCCAAAGCTGAACTCAAGCTGCTGTCAGGTCCATCAAATCCTGGCATCCCCAGACCTGTGCCAGGCTGTACGCCAAAGCTGGGTGATGGTGGGCCCACAGGTCCATACACTGCAGTGCTGGGGACATCCAGTGCTGAACTGACGCCAGTGCCTGGTCCCTCAGCCCCAGGAAGAGCTGTGTCCTCAGGAGCATCAGCTGCTGTGTCCCATGGCTGTGATGCCCCAACAGATGGGGACGCTGGTTCTTCTCTGACAGCACTGAGGTCGGGGGTCACTGCTGCCTCTGCTCCGCCATCAGGCCCAAACACAGCACCATCCACAGCAGCTGGAGGTGGGAGAGCAGCACCAGGGGCACCAAGGGCCTCAATGGGCAGGGAAACTGATCCTCCAGCTCCAGAGAGGTCGTGGCTGGGAGCTGTAGGACCATATGGGGACAGTGCTGGTGCCAGGGCTCCTTCCCCAGGAGCTGGGGCAGGAGACAGCTCGGTGTGTGGCACAGCTCCTGGTGTGATGTCAGTGGGGTCCTGCTGGATGCTGCTGGCTGCAGGACTCGTGTCACTCTGGGTGTTCTCATAGGGGCTGCCATCTCCTGCATCTTCTGCCTGTGTTGTGTCCCCTGCACCTGTGTCTTCCTGTGCCTGTTGCCCTTCAGCATACAATGCTGCACCATCAGGTACTGAAGATGATGGATTGGTGGCACCCAAAGCTGAGTTCAGACTGGTGCTGGGTCCGTCAGCTGCTGCCCCCCATGGCTGTAACCCCTCTAGGGATGGGGACAGAGATACTCCTAGATCAGCACTGTAGTCAGGGCTCACCGCTGCCTCTGTGCCACCATCAGTTTCTGGAAGGGATCCGGCTGCAACCCCTGGGTGTGGGAAAGCAGTGGTGGGTGCACCAGAAGTGCCTGTAGGGGCCAGTGGATCAGCACCAAGCAGTAATTGCTCTTCTCCAATGGGGCTCAGCCATGGCTGCAGGGAGCTCTCGGCCAGATCCACAGCCTCTGTGGGCAGGGGCACGCCAGTGTCTGCGGCTGGGATGTCTGCATCACTCTGCACATCGGTGTCTGGCAGCAGAGTGGCTGTGTCCCCTCTCACTCCAGGTGCTGCAGGCGCCTCACTGTCTGCCAGGACTGAGCCAGGGCCAGATGGCAGCAACACTGCTGGGGCTCCCTGCTTGTCCCCATCTCCAGATTCTAGCAAATCAGTAGGGCTTGGCCCTGCCTGGCCAGCGAGAAGGGAGCCCTGCCCAGGATTTTCTGCTGTTCCCAATGCTGTTACATTCTCTGGAGGCAGTTGTGATGAATCAGCTGTGCTGAAGACATCATTTGCTGCATCTCCCACATCTCCAGGCTCCAAAGCTGCCCACCCTGGGGTGTCACCCACTGTTCCACTCACAATCTTGGCCCACGGTGTTGGGAGAAGCCCACTGGCACCAGGGCTGGGGATTGATGAGGGGGCACGTCCATCCCCTTGGCTGTCCCCAGGCACGGTGACACCTTCCACCTCTGCTCCCGCAGCTGGGGGCAGAGCAGTGACACGGGTGTGCAGGGGGGTGGTGGTCACCGCCTGTGTCCCTGCAGCTGTTGGAATGGTGACACTGGGGAGGAACATGGCATCAGTTGTGGACTCCAAGGCACCTCCTGCCCTTGTTGTGGATGCTGGGGCATCTGCAAAGACAGGGGTGCTCCCCAAGGGTGCAGCAGCAGTGGTCCCTGTTATGTTGTGCTTGGTGCTGGGGGTAAAATTGGGCTGTGGGGTGACAACAATGGCAGCAGCTGTGGCAGTTGCCAAACCGCTCTGGTTTTTCTGTGTTGCATCAAGAGATGTGACCACGTCCGTCCCAGCCTGAGGGACTCCAGTAGGTGCCTGTGTCACTTCCCCAGTGCTCAGCCCTGCATCTCTCTCTGCACCCAGAGGGGAGTTGTACCCTGTGGTCTCGGTCACTGAATCTGGCTCAGCCCAGGAGGGGAAGGATGGGCTCATGGTGGGACTCGCGAGGATGCTCTCAGCCATCACGGTGTCATTGACAGTTCTCGTCCCCACAGTGCCCAGCAGCAGGGCAGTGGGTGCCTCGCTCTGCGATGGAGTGGCAGCAAATGGTCCTTCTGTGGTGACAGGGGCAGCAGCAGTGGTCCCCAGCCCTGCATGGAGCACAGAGCAGAGCATTACAGTGAGGACAGAACCAGTGGTCCCTTGGCTTGGGGACAGCAAGAGGGAGCACACAGGATGGGTGGGAGGGCTACACTGGGGATGACAGCAGGGTGACAGATGGGTCACCCCTTCCCCAGAGTTCCCCTGGGCCAGAGCTGCAGGGGCTGAGTGTGTGCCACCACAACAGCCATCAGGGCAGACAACAGCACCCGGTGGCATCCCACTCAGGCTTATTTTTAGCACAGCGGTGCAACCACTGGAGGGACTGAGCTGGAGGATCTGCTGACTCCTGGCTCTGGGTGGCTGCAATTAGGGGAGCCCTAATTTGCACCCAGCAAGTGAGACTGGGCTCTCAGCCCTGGCGCTCCGGTCCATCAGGTTCCCTGTGGGCAGCCAGCCCCCAGCACCCAGCATGCTGCATGCCAGCAACCACGTGCCAGCATGGTTCATGGTTCTCAGAGTCTCCTACCCATGTTATGGGGGTCCCCAACTTCCTTTTCAGCCCCCTGTTTCCTCCCCTTCCCCTTCTCTTTCTTCTTTCCCTTCCCTTTCTTGCCTTTCTCTCCTATTCCAGTGAATAAAGGGATTTGCAGCAGCAGCAGCATAAAGGCTGAACAATGAGATGAGGAAGCCCTGCTGGACTCTGGTGCAGCCTTCAGTGTCCTTGTGCAGGGCAATGCCATGCCCCTACAACACTTTCTTAGCTCTTTGGCTGCAAAAGACCTCAAGCATTGACTAAGAAAGGTTTCTCATGTATCCAGGAGGAAGAAAGCATCTCCCAGCCATACCCAATAGGTAGAGTAGCAGGAAAACATGGGACATACCGTGCAGAATCCATAGGCAGCATCCCATGAAGGTCGGAAGCATCCATCCCCTGGTCCCCATGCCTCGGGCAGAACTCCGAGGCGCTGGAAGGGAAGGGAGAGCAGCACGGAGCAGCTCCTGCAGCCAGAGTCCCACAGGTGTGGTCCTGCTCCAAGTCCCTCCTATTTATGGGGCTGGTGAAGGAGGCAGGTTCCCTCCCTCCCCCACTGCTCTCCCTCCACATCCCCATCCCCAGTCCCATCCCACGCAGCCTTTCACTGCCAAAGGCCACATGGGCTCAGCACCCACCTCCTTTCACCCTCCCCTGGGGGCTGTGGGTGCCCCATGGAGGAGCAGCCCCTTACAGACAGGTGTGTGTGGCATCACCCTGTAGCCACCAACCAGAACCGCTGGGCCTTCAGTGCCCAGGGCAAGGATGCAAAACCCTGCTCAGATTATGGCTTCCACAGGAAGGTCTGAAAGTAGGGGAGGTAGTACTGGGACAGCCATGGGGTGACCCCAGAGGAGCGCTGGGAACCCCCCAAATATGGCTATGCCAGGTGTAGTAGCAGACGATGGGCAGCCCTGCTCCCATTCCTCCCCTTACCCTCCTTTTCCCCACAGCCCCCACTCCCACTCCCCACCCGGGGCTTCCCAGTGAACGGCATTGCACAACGCCCACCAGCGCATGCTTTGGGAATCGATTAAACGCTCCTTAAGCAGGGATGCCCGAGGGCAGCTCTCGCAAAGCGTCATTAGAGGTGTTGTCAGGCAGCAGCCGGGTACACGCTGTGCCGCCGGAGCCTCCATAAAGCAGGATGCGGTGGCACGGCCAGCGACACTCGGAGCACCAACCCACGCATTGCCCCCTGCCCACACAGCGGCTGTAAATCACACTGCTCCACTCACCCGCAACGAACGCCGACACTGCGAGTGCTGTGTGAGGCGGGGGGTGGGGCAGTGCGGGTGATGGGTCCTACCAAGAGGTGACCCAGCTGATGCTCTACTCTCTCTCAGCCCACTTACCGTGCCCAGGGATTGGCACCATTCGGAGTCCCCCTAAAAGGTCCCTCTACGTTTTGCTCTCCATCTTGGGGGAATGGCACAGATTAGGGTGAGGATACAGGAGCATCCTGTGCTCCAGCATCCACAGCATGCAGCACTGGGGCAATCATCCCCAACCTCATCCCCATCCTCATCCCCATCCTCATCCCTGTCCTCACCCCTGTCCTCAGTTCCATCCCCATCCATGTCCTCATTCCCATCCTCATCCCTTAAACACCCCCATCCCTATCCCCATCTTCTTTTCCATCTCCATCCCCATCCCCATCCTCATCCCCATCCTCATCTTCATCCCCACCCCCATCTCCATCTCTATCCC